GCTCAGATTCTTCGACTCCCTCCCGATTGAAAACGCCAACCTCGCCCTCCGCCGCCAGCCCGCTCCGCGCACTCCGCACCTCAGAATTTGACTTCAGCACTGCGCCTCCTCTGAGTGTCCGTATGCGTTTCTCTTTCCTCCTACTTGTAGGACTTCCACTCAGCCAGCGTTCCTGTGGTTCTGGGTGATGTCCGTTCAGTTTTTTGGTTTCACTTTTGAAGTAGTTCTTCAAAGCAGCAAACTCCGGCATTAACCTATGCCGCCATCTTGGTTCTCCACCTCTCTTTTTTTTTTTTTTAATTAAATCTTTATTGTTCAGATTATTACATTTGTTCCTCTTTTTTCCCCCCATAACTCCCCTCCTCCCAGTTCCCACCCCACCCTCCACCCTCACTCCCCACCCACTGTCCTCATCCATAGGTGCACGATTTTTGTCCAGTCTCTTCCCGCATCTCCCACACCCCTTTCCCCCCAAGAATAGTCAGTCCATTCCCTTTCTATGTCCCTGATTCTATTATAATCACCAGTTCATTCTGTACATCAGATTATTTATTCACTTGATTCTTAGATTCACTTGTTGATAGATGCATATTTGTTGTTCATAATTTGTATCTTTACCTTTTTCTTCCTCTTCCTCTTCTTAAAGGATACCTTTCAGCATTTCATATAATACTGGTTTGGTGGTGATGAACTCCTTTAGCTTTTCCTTATCTGTGAGGCTCTTTATCTGACCTTCAATTCTGAATGATAGCTTTGCTGGATAAAGTAATCTTGGTTGTAGGTTTTGGTATTCAACACTTTGAATATTTCTTGCCACTCCCTTCTGGCCTGCAAAGTTTCTGTTGAGAAATCAGCTGACAGTCGTATGGGTATTCCCTTGTAGGTAACTGAGTTTCTTTCTCTTGCTGCTTTTAAGATTCTCTCTTTGTCTTTTGCTCTTGGCATTTTAATTATGATGTGTCTTGGTATGGTCCTCTTTGGATTCCTTTTGTTTGGGGTTCTCTGCGCTTCCTGGACCTGAAAGTCTATTTCTTTCACCAGGTGGGGGAAGTTTTCTGTCATTATTTCTTCAAATAGGTTTTCAATATCTTGTTCTCTCTCATCTTCTGGCACCCGTATAATTCTGATGTTGGTACGCTTGAAGCTGTCCCAGAGGCTCCTTACACTATCTTCGTATTTTGGGATTCTTTTTTCATTTTGCTTTTCCGGTTGGGTGTTTTTTGCTTCTTTGCTTTTCAAATCTTTGACTTGATTCTTGTGCTCCTCTGGTCTGCTGTTGGGTGTCTGTATAATATTCTTTATTTCAGTCAGTGTATGCTTAATTTCTAGTTGGTTCTTTATCACAACATCGAGGGTCTCATTAGATTTCTTGTAGATCTCATTAAGTTTATCGGCAGTTTCTAGAAAATTATTGACCTTAAAAGTGCGGTTTTGAGCTCTATATCCTCCATTTCTGTCATGTTTCTTTGTCTCCGCATTTTTTATGCTTTCTTGTCTTTCCTCTTCTTGTAAGGGCACCAGTTATACTGGATCAGAGTTCCACCCTTGTGACCTAATTTCACATGGATCACCTCCTTAAAGGTCCTATGTCCAATATAGTCAGTCACATGGGGCAGTAGGGGCAGAGGGTATCAATCAACATGTGAATTTGGAAGGGACACAATTTAGTCATAGCAAAGCTGCCCATGCCAAAGTTTGAACCTGATGCAGTAGCCCTTTTTTGCTCTGGATACCACTCAAAATTGTCTTCTTTTTGAGTCACCCAATAAAGTGACTGAATATATTATTCCCAAGTATAGTAAATGCTATCTTCAAAGCCAAGGTCTTTCCAGCACTCCCTCTTTTTTAGTGGTAAGTTAAGATAATCCACTATGCCCCTCCCTGGCTACTGAACCCACTGAATAAATCTATTTTGTCAGTCTAGCAATAAAAATTTTTCAGCCAATAAATTCATATCCAAATAATTGTATACGTTTAATCATTGTAGCATCCTTCTTTACTCCCAAAAATGTCTTATTTGCATGAAAAACTATATAGTTACCCTACATAGAATGTAGAATAAGAAGACAAAAATATTAAAAACTTGAGATAACAATAAAGAGAAACTGTATCTAATAAGAATTCCAGGTGAAGAGAATGGAGGAAAAGTCTGAGAGACAGTATTTAAAGATATCATTGTTAACAGTTTCCCAGTCTTAAGAAATATATAAAATATCAACACCAAGATAAAGTTCTTCCTTCTATTCCTGTGATTATTTACCTTCCCTTATAAAATCCTTTTACCTTCATCCCATAATGGAAACACACTTTGGGTTCTGACTAAGTGAATGCTTTCCAAACAGCTTCTCTTTGATCTCAAATAAATGCTTATTGCCTCTCATTTTGACTTTTTATTGTTAAGGTAATAACAACTTGTCTAAAACAGTTAATCAGGCCAGAAAGCGTTCAACAAGATTTTGCCTTTTTTTAAAGGGAAAGCCAAATATAATGAAAATTTTCAGACATCTCACCCACCAACTATATAATTATTAGAATTACTTCATTATCATTAATTATGTACATTCATAAATTTTAATTTACTCTGAATAAAGAACTCCATTTGTCATCATGTGTCCTATGCTATGCTTACATTGTTAAATCAGAAACAACTCCCTCAAGATAAAAGTAATGTTTTTTTATCTCTTGGTTTTAATATTCCAAAATAGATTGGGTGACCTTTGAGTGTTGTTTTACCCTAATTCTGGTCAGCTTACATTGGAAAAAAACAAGAGAATTTTCCCTACAACCCTTATTTCCCTAGTGTTGTTGTTGTTTTTTTAATGAAAGGAAAATGTGTGTGTGTGTGTGTGTGTGTGTGTGTGATCATTTATATATAACTAAAGAAATTTATTATCTCTCAAGTACTTTATTTTGCAAAGAAGATCTGCCTCTTGAAAATTAGTATCTGCTTACTTTATTAATGTAATATTGTGATTTATAATATATATATATTTGGTCTTCATCCCTGTTTCTGACGTAAAGCTCCTAAAACCCTTGGAATTTTCTAAGTGATGAGTGATAAAAACTGGTTTTTGTTATGTTATGAGATGACTTTTGAACTACACCAAAGGATGGGTGCTGGTTGTCAGAAGAACTGACCATGTGATTAGGTTAGAACTTTCACTCCCACCCCCTTAACCCTTGCACCTCCGGGAAGGGCAGAAGGGCTGGAGATTGAATTCAACCATCAATGGCCAATGATTTTATCAAACATGCCTATGAAAGAAGCCTCCATTAAGGAATACTATACTGCGGTAAAAAAAGAGGAACTCTTGCCTTTTGCAACAGCATGGATGGAACTGGAGAGCATTATGCTAAGTGAAATAAGCCAGTCAGAGAAAGATAAATACCACATGATCTCACTCATTTGTGGATTATAGAGAACAACATAGACTGATGAAAAGGGACAGATCCAAAGACTGAGAAACAGCGATCAGGCTATCAATCCCCAGAAGGAAAGTAGGGGAGGGCGGGGGTAAGGGGAAAGATCAACTGAAGGACTTGTATACATGTATATAAGCCAAACCAATGGACATGGACAACAGGGGATGGGAGCATGAGTGTGCAGGGCGGGGCGGGGGGGAAGGTTGGGGGTTAATGGGGGGATGAGGACACATTTGTAATACCTTAATAATAAAAAAATAAAAATAAAAATAAAAAAAGAAAGAAGCCTCCATTAAAACACAAAAGGACTGTTCCGAGAGCTTCCAGGATAGTGAACATAAGTTGAGGTGCTGGGAGAGTGGCACACCATGGAGAGGGATGGAAGCTCCACACCCCTTCCCACATACCTAGTCTACGTACTTCTTCCATCTGGATGTTCATCTGTATCCTTTATCATATCCTTCTATAATAAACCAGTAAATGTAAGTAAACTATTTTCTTGAGTTCTGTGAGCCACTCTATCAAGTTAATCAAACCTGAGAAGGGAGTCATGGGAACCTCTGATTTACAGTTGGTGGATTAAGCACAGGTGGCAACCTGAACTTGCAGTTGTCATCTGGCATGGGTTGGGGGGCAGTCTTGTGGGATTGAGCCCTTAACCTATGGTAGACAGTGTCAGAATTGAATTAAATTGTATGACACCCAGAACTGCTTGGTGTGGAGGGGGAAAACCCCACACATTTGGTGACCAGAAATATCAGAAGAGAAGTGTCCTATGTGAGTTGTAAAGGAAGTCTCACAGGTAAAAAAACTTTTTTTTTTCAACTCAAGTATTATCCCCTTAAACAGTGAGGAAATCATAAAAGACCATCAGGGAAAAATGGCAGTCAAGTCGGCCCTGCATTTAGTTTTTGGAACACGCAACAGGATCCACGGGTCTAAGTAGTATGACTTAGTGGGTAAGAACATGGTGTCTGGGACCAGCTGGCTTGGGTTTGAATTCCAGCTTTATCACACTCTAGGTCTATGACTTTGGCCAAGCTTTTTAGTCTCAGTTTCCTCCTCTGCAAAGTAGAGATAATAAAAGTATATTCTTCAGAGGATTGTTGTGAAGCTTAAATGTGATTATATATATGGTGTTTAAACAGTGCTTTGCACATCATTGGAACTATATTTGTCTTTAGAGTTGTTATTATTTTCAATCAGTTCTCTAAAGTCACAAGTGAAACTAGTACACAGATGTTCAAATTAACTGGAGCTAGTAAAGAACACAACTCTCAATATCATGTTAGTGGCTTATGAAAGAGTGTCTCTCCAAGTCCTTCCCGGGGCCCCATGATTAAACTAATACCATCATGCCCAAAAGGACGTGGGAGAGGATTAGAAACCAAATCCCTCCTGATTTGCATCTCCAGATTTGGAGCTAAGAATTCTGAGACAAACAAATGGAGTGAATTGGAAATGCTGCACCAACTGCTTCCTCCTGTGAGATGAATAGTGGGAGCTACCAACGATCTGCCCATCAAATGCTAGGGAGACATTCTCCAACAGACACCAAAGAGGAGTAACAACTCAGGATGACCAACACCTGCAGTCCCCCAGAGGATAATTTGTCACCACTTAATATCATCTTAATTTTCACAGTTATGGGCACGGAATGCATCATTGGCATCATTGCAAATGGGTTCATTGTGGCTATAAATGCAGCTGAGTGGATCCAGAATAAGGCAGTCTCCACGAGTGGCAGGATCCTGTGTTTCCTGAGCATATCCAGAATAGCTCTCCAAAGCTTGATGATACTAGAAATTACTTTCTACTCAACATCCCCGCAATTTTATTATAAAGATGGTGTATATGATACCTTGAAAGTGAGTTTCATGTTCTTACATTATTGTAGCCTCTGGTTTTCTGCCTGGCTCAGTTTCTTCTACTTTGTGAAGATTGCTGATTTCTCCTACCGCCTTTTCCTCAAGCTGAAGTGGAGAATTACTGGATTGATGCCCTGGCTTCTGTGGCTATCAGTGGTTTTTGCCTTGGGCTACAGTATGTTCTTTTCCTATGGCATATACACTGTTTATTGTAACAATTCTTTTCCTATCCTCTCCTCCAACTCTACTAAGAAAATATATGTCACTGAGACCAACGTGGTCAACCTGGTTCTTCTCTATAACCTGGGGATCTTCCTTCCTCTCATCATGTTCATCCTGGCGGCCACCCTGCTGATCATCTCTCTCAAGAGGCACACCCTGCACATGAAAAGCAATGCCACTGGCTCCAGGGACCCCAGCATGGAGGCTCACTTGGGGGCCATCAGAGCTATCAGCTACTTTCTCATTCTCTACATTTTCAATGCAATTGCTCTATTACTCTATATGTCCAACATCTTCAATGCCAACAGTTCCTGGGATATTTTGTGCAAAGTTATCATGGCTGCCTATCCTGCTGGTCACTCCATTCTACTGATTCAGGACAATTCTGGGTTGAAAAGAGCCTGGAAGCGGCTTCAGTCTCAAGTTCATCTTTACCTAAAAAAGTAAACTCTGTGACCGACACCGCAAGAGTACCACAGCATCTGGCCCAGCCAGCTCTGCCTTTCCCTCACCCAGACCTCTCTCTTCCCTTTTCTTTTCTTCCCCAAACCTGATCTGATCCTTCACCTAGTATGGCTTTTTGTAGAGGTGCTTGGTCTTCATTTCTCTCTTTTGCTTCATGGCACAATCTTAGTGATGTTTAACATATCCTTTACCTGAGCCTGCTATTTCTGCCTTCCTTGCTCTGTATAAAGCTGTTGGCTCCAAATTAGAAACTCTAGGGGAGATTTTTTTGGAAATTCCAATGTCCAGGCCTGACTAACTCTAGATCAATTAAGTCAAAATTTCTGGTGTCGGAACTTAGACAGTTTTTTTTTTTTTTAAGATCTCAAGGTGCTGCCAGAGTTGACATAGCCACCAAAACAGAGGAAGGCTTTGCAACCTGAGCTCCTGGTGACCCCTCTCCTTCCCCATCCACATGCCTTTTAAACATCCACATGACCCAGGAAGCTTTCTTTGCAAGAGCTGGAAGTGCATTTTGTCTCCATTCTCCAAAGACACAACCTGAATGATATAAAAATATCTATTAAATTAACAGTATATAAAGTACTCTTTAACCTAAAAATTACTAAGAATTTTTCCTATAGCTAAGGTATGGTCATCTATATACATATATGTGAGAATATATACAAGGAAGTCTTCATTGTAGCATTCATTCATTAATGAGGAGACTCGTATGTCTAAAATGGAATACTGTGTAAACATTTTCAGAGACAGATGCATGTATTCTGAAATGAAAATATTTTCAAAATACTGTTAAGTACAAAAAGTAAGGAGATATTTTATAATTCCATTTATGTTCTTGTTTCTTGTGTGTCTATAAAATTTCTGGGAGGATGCACCAAAAATGATTAATAGAGGGCTGGGTTATTTGGAGATAAATGAAACATTTATACCACATTTTCTACCTTTATGCATTATTTGAACTATCCAGAACATGTATGCATTAATTTCCATTTTTTAAAAAATGTATTTAAGTGTAGTTGGTATGCAATCTTATATTGGTTATATTAGTTTCGGGTGTACAATATAGTGATATGACATTTTTATACCTTACAATGTGGTTTATATTGTTGTTTTTTACAAGACAGAAAACTAGGTAAGTAGGAAAGGTTTGAGGGACAGGACTGTGTAGCTTAATTAGTTGACTGACCCTCTCACTACGTTTGTTTTAATAAAAAATGCAAATCTCTCAACTCATGGGTTAAAATTCTATCTCCTATTTTCCATTTCATTCATTTGCTCAAGGGCTGCCATGGAAAGGTCATGGGCTTTCGATCCATAGACATATCTATATTCTGTTACTCTCTTTGCTTCCCTTCATACCCAGTTTGGATTATGGGTGAAGCATTGTGCCCAGACCCTTAAAAATACTTTGGGTAATTACAGGTGGAGTGAGATTATGTCTAAGATTTACTTTAAGATAATTTACCATTTGCCGCAGCATGGATGGAGCTGGAGAGCATTATGCTAAGTGAAATAAGTCAGTCAGAGAAAGATAAATATCACATGATCTCACTCATTTGTGGATTATAATGAGCAACATAAACCAATGAACAAAAATAGATCTAGAGACAGAGAAGCATCAGTCAGATGCTCAAACCTCAGAGGGAAGGCAGGGGAGGGTGGGGCTAAGGAGGAGAGATCAACCAAAGGGCTTGTATGCATGCATATAAGCATAGCCAATGGATACAGACACCGGGGGGTGAGGGCATGAGTAGGGGGATGTGGGAATAATAAGGGGCTAGGGACACATTTGTAATACCTTAATCAATAAATGGAAAAAAATAAAAGATAATTTGGTACAGGGCAAAGGAATGAAGAGGAGAGAGGTTTAGAATTGTCATATGTTGATGATTTCTGTCAAACAAGGCCTCAGGTGCATGGGGGTTCTTTGTACTAGTCTCACTATTTCAGGTTATGTTTGAAATTTCCCTAACATAATTATATACAAATGAGTTATAAAATACTCCAATTTCCTGGCCCTCTCTCTCTTCAGGCCCATATCTAGATGAACTCAACTATTTTTAACACTCCACATTTACCTCTAAACAGGCTAGTGTTACTTGAGAATATTTCATAACTGGATGAACTTATGTTCCTAGATTCATGCTCTTCATCCTTAAATGAGTAACATCATTGGACATTTTTAGCCCATATTTTCCTGAGAAATCATTCACGTAAATACCCAAAATGACTATCTCCTATCTTTTCCTCAGTCCTGAAACCTCCAACCCCACTTCTCCCTGCTTCATTTTTCACTGATGAAGTTGCCCTTACATTCTTTGATAAAAGTCATTAGGACATTCTTTCATCTTCCCATTAGCAAATCTACAAAACCACCAATTTTCTCCTACATTCCTAACATTTCAATAGAAAGAGTGACCCCCTATGAAGAAAATAATTAGAAATGCTATGATGATTTTTCTCCTCCCTCTATTATTTCTCCTTCCTACAAGTTCCATTTTTGTATGTGTTTTCATTTTCTTTCTTTCATGATTGAGCCTTTTCTCAAATATCTTGTGATCCTTGAATGTGAGCACTAGACGCTGATTGCAGAATTTTGAAATTAATTTTAAAAAAACTTTAGAATATAAAAACTATATTGAAACCCGTAGGGGAGAAGTATCTCAAAAGTATCACATTCAGCCCAGCTGGCTTTGCTCAGTGGCTGAGCATCAACCTATGAACCAGGAGGTCACAGTTCGATTCCCAGTCAGGGCACATGCCCAGAGTTTCAGGTTCAATCCCCAGAGGAGTGTGTGCAGGAAGCAGCCAATCAATGATTCCCTCTCATTATTTATGTTTCTATCTCTCTCTCCCTCACCTTTCCTCTCTGAAATCAATAAAAATATATTTAACAACAACAAAAACTATCACATTCAAAGCTGGATTCTTAGTTTTTCTCCCCAAACACACTTCTCCTTCAGTTTTCTCCACCTTACTAATATTAATTAGCACTGCAATATTTCCTATCGATGAAGCTAGAATTCTGGGAACCATCTATGGGTCTGCTTTTTCTCTCTTCCCCTCCCCCATTCAATTAATCAGCCATTTATTTTTACTATGTGATGTACATAATTAGAGGATTGTTATATGTATTAATTTAACCATTATTGGCTGAACACCAACTATATGGTAGGCACTAGTCTAGGGGCTTGGTATCCAGTATGGAGCAAAATAAACTGGGCTGCTGTCATCACAGATAATCTATTCTAGTGGGAAAACACAGAAAATAAACAGACGTGGTGGTTGTTGTGTTAGATCAATCTAGCCAGGAAGGGGCTGTGTGAGTTAAGATTTAAAGAAAAATATTTTTAAAAAGTATAAGCCCAAACCAAGAAATTAGAAGAATAATTATGAAATAAATCTAAGAAAATAAGAAAAACACAATTCATTAAATATATTAATGTCAGCCCTAGGTGGTTTGGCTCAGTGGATAGAGCGTTGGCCGGTAAACTGAAAGGCCCCAGGTTTGATTCTGGTCAAAGGCACATGCCCGGGTTATGGGCTTGCTCCCCAGTCGGGGACTTGCAGGAGGCAGCCGATCCATGATTCTCTCTCATCATGGATGTTTCTATCTCTCTCTCCCTCTTCCTTCCTCTCTGAAATCAATAAAAATATATTTTAAAAAAAAAACAAGAAAAAATAAATATATTGATGTCATAAATTAAATATCAGAAAAGGAAGAATTAAAATGAATATAAGAATTGGCTCATTGAAATAAATAAAATTAGTACTGTTTGCTTATATCATTGAGAAATACAAAAGGCATAAAAATTCACAAAATAAAAAATAAAGAAAAAATTGCCACAAACTGGAGATATTACAGTACTCATAAGAACTTATTTTGTTCCAATCTATGTAGGAGTTTGAAAATACTTTTGCAAATATTTTTTAATACTAAGTCATTTTCTAGGGGCAGCTGTCTTTAAAGTAAAAAATGTTCTTATGCACTTAAAGTCAAAAACCTATACATAATTTTTATTATACCAGGACCTCTAAGTCTGTTTCAAAAGTTTAATCTTGTATTGCCCAAATTTTAATTTGGGGTCAAAAAAATTGCTCCAAACTAATTTTCTACAGGAAATGTCTAAGGAAATTTTTGAACGGGGGATATATCCGAATAAACCTGAAACACTGATTCTATAGAATATATACACCCCTATGTTCATTGCAGTGTTATTTACAATAGCCAAGATTTGGAAGCAGCCCAAGTGTCCAACAGTAGATGAGTAGATTAAAAAAAGCTGTGGTACATTTACACAATGCAATACTACTCCGCCATTAAAAGGAGAAGAAGGAGAAGGAGAAGGAGGAGGAGGAGGAGGAGGAGGAGGAGGAGGAGGAGGAGGAGGAGGAGGAGGAGGAGGGGAAAAATCTTACTCTTTACAACAGCATGGATGGACCTGGAGAGCATTATGCTAAGTGATATAAGTTAGTCGGAGAAAGACAAATACTATATAATTTCACTCATATGTGGAATCTAATGAAAAATATAAACAAAACAGAAACAGACTCATAGATATAGAGAACAGACTAATAGTTATGGGAGGGATGAGGGACAGTGAAATAGGTGAAGGGATTAAGAAAAAATAACAACAGAACTTCATAGACACAGACAACAGCATGGTGATTACCATAGGGAAAGGGTAGTAGGGGCAGGTAGAAGAGAGTAAAGGGGGAATAAATGGTGATTAAAGGAGACTCGACTGTGGGTAGTGAACACATAATACAATATACAGATGATATATTATAGAATTGTACACCTGAAACCTATTTAATTAACCAGTGTAACCTGAATACAGTATATATATGAAAGCCGAATTTAGGCCACCCTCGCCAACTCTAACTCGTCTGCCAAGTAGCTACGAAGACATGGTGGTTGACTCCCGGGGAAGACGTGCGCCTGTGCCACGGTAGGGACATGACTCCAACCACCAAGT